ATTTATTTTTTATTTTGTATACAGTGTTCTGTCTGCATGTATTCCTGCACACCAGAAGAGGGCACCAGATCTCATTATAGATGGTTGTGAGCCACTATGTGATTGCTGGTAATTGAACTTAGGACCTCTGGAAGAACAGCCAGTGCTCTTAACCTCTGAGCCATCTCTCTAGCCCTTGAGTATTCTTTTAAGCAAGGAGTTCACATAGGTGTTTTCATGTGGAGGCTTATGTATTTAAACAATAGAGTTAAAAACACAAGTAGCCAGGAATACACAGAGAAACCCTGTCTCAAAAAACCAAAAAAAAAAAAAAAAAAAAAAAGATAATTTATGCTGGGTGGCAGTGGGGCACACCAGCCTTTAATCCCAGCACTTGGGACGCAGAGGCTGGTGGATCTCTGTGAATTCAAGGCCAGCTTGGTCTACGAAGCAAGTTTCAGGCCAGCCTGTTGTACAGAGTGAATTCCAGGATAGCCAGGACTGTTACACTAGAAACCCTGTCTCAAAAACAAACAGAGCCGGGCGGTGGTGGCTCACGCCTTTAATCCCAGCACTTGGGAGGCAGAGCCAGGCGGATCTCTGTGAGTTCAAGGCCAGCCTGGGCTACCAAGTGAGTTCCAGGAAAGGCGCAAAGCTACACAGAGAAACCCTGTCTCGAAAAACCAAAAAAAAAAGCAAGTAGCCAATTCAACCTGTCTGCATCCATCCCTTTAGGCTTCAAGTCAGTTTCCAAAAGCTCTGGAAATGTTAAACACTCTTACTCTATAAGTCAAAAGCATCAGGAACTTGTGCCTTCCAGGGCTCACTCTGTAACCTCTGAATGTTGATCTTTCATTATACAGTTTGTTCAGACTTACCCTGATTGGTATATAAAACCTATGTATTTGCTCCTTGAAGCAGGCTGGGACTCTGAATAGCTTTGGTAGGTAGTCATACAGTTGGTAAAATCTTTTAGCCATGCTGATCCTCAAATTATAACATCCTGTTAGAAAATGTGGTGGCTGGGTTACTAGGTATTAGGACAGATGAAGTACCTAGTGTTAACACATCCCATTGTAAGACTGTAAGAGAGAGGTTTTAGGGCTAAGGCACTTGCCCAGCATATGTGAGGTCCTAGGCTCAATCTCTAGTACAGTCCAAAGAAGAAGGGAGAGCAAGGGGAAAGGAAATCTCAATTTGAGATTGTCTTGACAATTACAGCCTGGTGTGGTGTTTCACATCTGTAATCCCAGAAGAGGCAGGAAGATCTCTGAGTTTAAGGCCAACCTGGGCTACGGAGCGAGTTCCAGGCCAGCCTGGGCTAGAATTGCCTCAAAACGCAAGTTTGGGGCTGGAGAGATGGGTCAGCACTTAATAGCACTTGCTGCTCTTGGAAAGGATCCAGCACCCACAACTATCTGTCACTCCAGTTCCAGGGGATACGACACCCTCTACCTCTGCCTGTGTATGCACACGTGTGGTGTGCATAAGTACACTCAAGTACACATACTTAAACAATTTTAAAGCAAAATGAAGTTGGCATCTTTTCATTGCTTTCTCTAATACTCTCAGTTCCAAAAAACGATGGGAACTGGCAGAGACTGAATTTTCTTCCACTCTCTTGCTTTTTATGGATCCATTAGGTTCACTTCTGAAAGAAACATTTTGAGACTGAGGTTGTGCTTGAAAATGTCAAAGCACTAGGTAAGATTACAGAAATGTGTAAAACAAGCTGGGCGGTGGGCACACAACTTTAATCTCAGCACTCGGGAGGCAGAGCCAGGCGGATCTCTGTGAGTTCGAGGCCAGCCTGCTCTACAGCGTGAGTTCCAGGAAAGGCACCAAAACTTCACCAAGAAACCCTGTCTTGGAAAAAAAAAAAAAAGTGTGTAAAACAGTGAAATCCCCTGTTATATTTGGTGTATTTCCATCAAGCCCCCCATTTGGATGTTTCCAAAATTACACATCTTGGAAGTTATTAGACCAGTATAAATCTGTGAGTAGACAGAACCGGAGAAAACAAGTATTATTTGACAGCACCCCACAGCAACTGAAGTGACTAAAAATCCTTAGTTCCCACAGGAGGAAGCCTTGCTGCATCTGGAGGGCTTCATTTGATCAGCCCTATATGCCTTAGTCTCTGCTACCTGTCTTCCTTCACAAAGGCAAACTCATCATACCACCAAGCTTGAATCCCAGCAGAGGCAAGCTGATCTCTTGAGTTCAAGGCCAGCCCAGGCTACATGAGACTCAAACCCAGTACAAAAAAAAGTTAAGGATGAAGGAGGGTTCAGGAACAAAAAGATAGCTCTCGTTTAGTTGAGCAAATTTCCTTGCTTTACAGAGAAGGAACTTGGGGCACAGACACAGGGTGAGTTTCCTCTTTAGTTTGTTCCTAATGCCTGAGACAGACCCAAATCAGGCATATGAAGGGTTTGCTCATTTAAGCGCTACCAGGTGAAATGATTTGCGGCGGATGGGGTGGACTGGGGGGAATACTCCTGCTAGCCAAGTCGGTAGCTATCTATGGCTGCCCTTGACTTGTCTCTCCCTGCGGCAGATGGGGGGTACGGAGGCTCCAGGGCCCTTTGGGACCACCTTCTACATCAATGACTAACTAGTCATTTAGGTCTTTGGCTTGACGGGGACCCTCTTCTTGCCTTAGCAAAGGAAGGTTAAAAGATGACTAACAGTTCTCTCCCCGCCACAGCGGATGAGGGTTCACGAACATGCCGGCGGTAACGTGGGAAGCAGACAGGCCCTCGGGGGGGAAAGGCGGAGCTTCCTCTGTGGGAGGAGATGGGTGGGGCGGGGAGGGGCGGGGCTTCCTTGATAGGCAGGGTAAGGCGGAGCCTCTTCCGAGAACGAGGAGCTTCTGCCCAGGGAGGCGAGGGGCGGAGCTTCCTTCTTGGGTGGGGCAGAGCAGGGCTTCTTCCGTCGGGGAGGGGCGGGACTTCCTCCGTGGGGCGGGGTAAGGAGGAGCATCTTCCGTGGGAGGGGCGGGGCTTCCTCTGTGGGCGTGGCGAGGCCCTGTCAGCCTCCCTGGATCCCTCCACTGCGCATGGCACGTTGCGTACCTCCCGCCCAGCAACCGGCCTGGCGGCAGCGCGGCCACCAAACTGAGGAGGCGGAGCCGAGACGAGTCGGTACTGCGCTCTGACTCCTAGACCAGGTACCGGGTGGCGGGGCCGCCTGGTGCGCTCCCTGGGGCCGGTCCCTCTTGCCCGACTCCGAGTCCCTCTCCTCCGGGGCGCGCCTCAGCGGCCTTCCCGGCTCACCCTCGCCCTCCTCGGGCCCTCATTTAACCCGGGTTCTGGGTTCCCACATTGACGGGTTACAGCCTGAGAACAGAATAGGCTTGGGCCTGGCTGGGGAGACGCTGAGCAGAGTTGCCGGACCGGAGAGGCTAGCTCCTGCCTGCCCTACCCATCTTTTCCGGGGCTTCCAGATGGAGTGCCTGGGACCAGATGTCGTTTGGTCCTCCCCGCAAAGTAACAGCAGACCCTAGTGCTGACCTCTCGACCGGAGCCTCCGTTTCAGGCGATGCTGGTCGGGCATCGAGTTGAACTCTCACGAGGAAGCAAGATCAGGGTTATTCTCTGCTTTGGTCAAAACGAAGAATTTCTGATTGTCTTTTTGAGTGCTCCCCAGCAGTTTTGGGAATTGTGTCTGGCGGCCGAGAGTGAGCATGACAGAAGGGGAGTGGTTAAATAAAATTGTCCATAATTTTAGGAAATAGAGAGCTAACTTCTCAACTCTGCCTTCAGCGAAGACCCTAAGATTCTTCAGCTTGACCCCCTTCTCCCAGGCCGTTGGCATCAGTCTTTCTGAAAGACCTGTTGAGGTAGAACCAAGTTCCAATATGTGGACGGGTCCTCGTGAATTAGTTGATACTTTAGAGATACCCAATACCTGAGACGGATTCTGCTCCCTGAGAGGTGATACACCAAATTTGAGACTGCGGGTGTGGCTCAGTGCCTGAGTGCTTGCTTATCGTTAGTGAGGACTTGTATTCCATTCCTAGCACTACCAAAAAAAAAAGCTACCTAATAATTTAGTCATTAGTTATAGTGCTGCATTGGTTGGCTCGATTCACCCTTTAATTAGGTTTCTTAGAAGAATTTTGGCCATGTTTATAGTTGTGATCTCAGACATGTAGGAAATTTGGGGGCCCAGTGACAAAAACAGAAAAAGGAAAAGAAAACAGTCCACAGAGCAAGTGGCTTCTTTCTGTACCTCTTGTAGTAGGAGAGGTAACGAAGCAATTCCGAGTATGGTTGGGTGGCCGCAGAGGTGGCTCTGGATAAGGGACATTCTGCTGAAACATGAGGACCCGAGGTCCAGTCTCCAGCACTCATGTCAACAGCCATGTGGGACAAGAGAGACATCAGGGCTTGCTGGCTGCCAGCCTCTGTCCAGGTTTAGTGAGAAACCTATCTCAGGGAGTAAGGCTGAGTGGGAGAGTGGGACACCCAATGTCCTTTAGCCTCACCGTGCATGCAAACAGGAATGCACACACACACACACACACACACACACACACAGTTATGACGGGGAAAGCAAGTGGTTAGTGGGAGCCTCTGTGACACAGGATACTTGAGATGATTACTGAGTGAATATCAAAATTATATTGGGGACAAGAAGGGAAGTAGGGTCTTTATACTCCACTTTTTTTTTTTTTTTTTTTACGACAGGTTGTAGCCAAGGATGATGTTAAATTTTTAAATTCCTGATCCTGTCTCTGTCTCCTGAGTGCTGAGATCGCAAGCATGAGCTATCGTTCTCAGCTTTGGATTCCTATCACTTTTATAGCCTTAGCTGTTGACCTCTAAATCCACATAGCCATCTTTAACCTGTTCTTAAACATCAATACTACCTTTCTAACAAATGGCTATCCCCCATTTTTGGAAGATATATTCCTTCTCAACATTATTGAACTCTCTACATTAGTTAAACTTGAACCTGACAGAGAAAGACACCTGTTGTTCTCTTCTGGCCTCTGTGTACACACCCCTTCATGGACACCCTCAGGCATACCCCCCCATGCACATGTGCATACACTACACACTCGTACTTATACACTAAATAAATATTTTAACTTACCCTTACATTAAAGCCACTTCTACTTCTGAGCTTTCCTATTTCTGGCATTGGTTCAGTGGCATATTAATCTCTTTTTAATCACTCAAGAACACAAACACACAATTAGAATCATCAGTTGTAGAATGGATCCCCAGATACGGTTTTAAGTCTCTGCAGTTTCCAGCTGGACTGTCTAGATAGAAGGTCTGGCATGGGCTGGGAAGTTCTGCCACACTCCCTGGAAGTGACATCTGTCTAGGACAGTTTGTAAAAGATATTCTCCAGCCATGCCTGGTGATGCAAGCTTGTGATCCTAGCAGTTAGGAGCATGGAAGCAGAAGAGTCAGACATTCAAGGTCATGGGCAGTCACATAGTGAGTTTGAGGTCAGCTTCGTATGTAGGAGGCCCTGCCTCAAATTTCCAAAGGGCAGAGGATGGGCTCGATAGCCTGGGCTGCTGTTGTGACAGCTTGATCATTTTTTTATTCTTAGCCTCTCATCTGTTCCCTGGGGTTTCTACTGCCACAGGCTCCTCTCCCCGGGAAAACTGTTTTATAACCAGCATGCTTTTCTCTGGGTTACTTTGACCCCTCCCTTTCTTCATTCCTTTACAGATGAACATTTCTTGGAATGTTCTTCTAAACAAGATTTCTCAAATGTTAGTTAATGCCATGGTCCACATGCCAACAGTGCTGGCACTTCAAGGGAGTGTGGTCGAACTTCCCAGCCCATTCCAGACCTTCTGAGTTGCAGCCGGCATTTTACATTTTAACAAGATCTCTAAGTGATCTGTGGGCACAAGATGGAAGACACACTGCTTAGACCACCATTGTGTGCATCTTTCTGTTCAAAGCTTACAGTGGCTTCCCACCCCCTGCTAATACAGCCTTTCCTTAGCACGCATTGAAGGCTCATGGTCCTCACACACTGGAGAGTGTATTCAAAGTGCTAACACACTTCTCTCCACTTTTGGGGAGTTGTTTAGTGTTACTGAGGGACTACTGTGGCAAACACTGTTGTCTAAGCTGGCAATAGAACTTTGCATAAGACAGCAGATACTACATAACAGTTACACTCTTTGGCTTGGAATCTCCATTTTCTTTAAGTCACCTTTGCTATTCCAGGCCCACTGCCACTCACCCTTGTTTTTGTTGAATTCCATAGGAAGTTGCTCCTTCCTTCTTGTCCATTCCCCTGTCCTGTTTATTGGTGCACATCTCACTTCCACAACGAATTAAGGTGCTACTCCCAAGAGTGTATCATGTGTCTTACACCATTTTGTATCACTATGGTCAGGCACCAGGGTCCTGTCAAAGGAGGTGCATGCTTGATGAGGAAAGCTGCCTGGTTTTCTTCCAAGGCCTGACCCAACATAGACTCTGGGGTTGTAAGACAAGTTGGAGATGCCACACCCTTTTCCAGGTTTAATATATAAACATCTTCATCATAGCTGCTGTTTCGGATAAAGAAAAATAAAATGAATTTTTTTTCCATACTGGTGATTAAATTTAGGGCCTTGGGCATGCTAAGCAAATGCTATTCAGCTCAGCTTTCCCAACCATTACTTTTTCTTTGCTTGTTTGTTTTTTGAGACAAGGTTTCCCTGTGAAGCTCTGGCTGTCCTGGAACTCACTATGTAGTCCAGGCTATCTCAGATTCACCTGCTTCTGCCTCCCAAGTGCTGGATTAAAGGCATGCGTCATCACCGCCTGGCTCCAACCCATACTTTTAATGTAAATGTTGACTACCCTAAAATAGATTTTCAGTTTGTGCAAAGTGTATAGGATTTAGTCCTACTAGCCAAAACTGAGACCTCATTCTTACTTCTGAGGACTTCAGTCATCTCAAGTAGTAGTAGAATCTTAAAAATAACTGGCTGGGTGGTGGTGATGCACGCCTTTAATCCCAGCACTCAAGAGACAGAGGCAGGCAGATCTCTCAGTTTGAGGCCAGCCTGGTCTACAAAGTGAGTTCCAGGACAGCCAGGGCTACACAGAGAAACCCTGTCTTGAAAAACCATTAAACAACAACAAAAAGATAACTTGCTTGTAAATAATGAAGCTATATCTAGGATGGGGTATACCTAGTGGTAGGGTGCTTGTCTAGCATGTGTGAGGCCCTGGGCTGGATATCTAGCACCACAAATCAACAAATAAAAAGGCCATTTCTGTATCTGTCTACTAAGAACATTGCTTTGCCAGTGTATTGTAGTGTTACATGTTCTTGATAAAAATGGATTTATGCTTTGAATGACATATCATCCATCTGCCTTATCCTTCCATTGTAATTTTGAATTTTAAGGACATTTGAAAGCAGCATACTGATCTTAATGTCACACAAAGTAGAAGAGGAAGTTCCTCAGTATTCAGATGAATGTCTGTCTGTTTTTAGATTGTTTTTTTTCCTTGACCCAGAATCTCTTTGGTAGCCAAGCTGGCCTCAACCTCTTGATCCTCCTACCTCAGTCTCATTAGTTCTAGGATTACAGGTCTTTGCCAGTCTGCAGTGCAGCATTTAGGTCTACATTTTTGTTTTGTTTTGGATGCAGGTCATGTAGCAGAGGCTAGCCTCAGAGTCACATATAGACAGGTATGACCTTGAATTCCTGATTCTCCTGTCTCTCTGCCAAGTGCTAGGATTACAGGTATGCAACACCACACCCATCTTAAAGTGTTTTCTCGTTTGTAGAATCCTTACAATCTTTTAAGTACACAGTCATGTTATCAGTAAGTAGTTTTATACTTTCAGCCAAGTGCAGCTGCCTGCCTGTAATCCCAGCCCCTTGGAGTCTAAGTCAAGAGGGTTGTTTGAAGCCAGCCTATCTAAAGGACTTTGTCTCAAAAAAATAACAGTGATGGTAGCTCACAGGTAGAGTCCCTGCCTACAGTGCCCAAGGCCCCACAGGAAAGAACGGAATGTCACTGCAGTTTACGGAACATTTTAATTCAAACCAAAAATTGCACCTGTATTGACAACATTCAGGTTTCATTAAATCAGACAAAGAAAAAAATTATTGGGTGGGTGTGGTATCACAGTCCCAGCATCCTGGAGGCAGAGGTGGGAAGATCAGAAGTTCAAGGTCATCCTCTGCTCTGTATCTGGTGAGAGATCACCCTGGATACCTAAGACCGTCTCTAAAAAGAAGGAAGAAAAGCTGGATGGAATCTCAGCACTCAGGAGGTAGAGGCAGGTGGATCTCTTGAGTTTGAGGCCAGCCTGGTTTACAGAGTAAGTTCCAGGACAGCCAGGGCAACGCAGAGAAATCTAGTTTCAAAAAGAAAAAAAGGGGGGACGGGGCCAGGGGTGGGGGGAGGGAGAAAGGCCAGAGTTTTACACTTCACACGCTGTGCGCCTGTAGCTTCTGCTTGTCAGTCTTTTTTTTTTTTTTTTTTTTTGTGGTTTGTCGAGACAAGGTTTCTCTGTGTAGCTTTGCGCCTTTCCTGGAACTCACTTGGTAGCCCAGGCTGGCCTTGAACTCACAGAGATCCTCCTGGCTCTGCCTCCGAGTGCTGGGATTAAAGGCGTGAGACACCACCGCCCCGCTATGCTTGCCAGTCTTGTACTGAAGTGGTGTGCGGATGTGGGGGAGGTAGACATGGAGTGATGTGCAGAAGTGGGGGAGGCAGACATGGAGTACTGTTTGGAAGTGAGGGTGGCAGACGCCCCTGCTTTGTTTTTAAAGGAAGCGCACTCATTGTGCACTTTATGTTAACTGTGGCTTTTGCACTTGCCTTTCTCTGAGCTAAAGAAGTTTCTTCCCATCCCTCCATTGCACCCTGCTTCTCCTGGCCACTTTGCCCTACCTTCCTCTCAACAGTCCTGCTATGTATGAAGCCCACACTGGCCTGCAGTTCCTCATCCTCCTGCCTTAACCTCCTGAATTCTGGGAATACAGGAGTGCATTGACATGCCTGACTCCAGACTTCTTGTCTTATAGAAATGACAGTTTCAGATGTACTTGCTCAAAGTATATCCAAGTGTATTGTCACTCGACGCAATTCTAGACAAATGCTCAGAAGTTAGCAAGTTAGATGTCTGGTACGGTGCCCTGACATGATAGACCAGGAGTACATTTTGTTCAACAGGGAAGCTTTATCTAGGCTGGATATGTTGATCAGGAGAGTGTCTGCCTGGCACTCAAGAAAACACCTATTTCCATCATCAGCACGGACCCCGGGTGAGGTACAGCCTGTAATCCCAGCACTGAGAGTGCGGAGACAGGAGTTTCAGGAGTACGAGGTCATTCTCTACTGTGTAGTGAGTTTTAAGCTAGCTTTTGCTACAGGAGATTTTGTTTCGGGGAGAAAAAGGTATTTCTATAAAAAGAGATTTAACCAACTCTCCCTGTTTCTATTTTCCTTTTAGGTTTAAGTTTTTGAAATTGAAGTAGGTCTACACAGTAGGAACCCATGTCTTTTCTTGTAAGTAAACCAGAGCGAATTAGGGTGAGTGTTCCCATTCTTCTGGCTTTCTATTTGTCTTTTCTGAAAAGTAAAGTATTTGGATGGACATTGTGGGGGTTGTTTTTTCTTGTTTTAAGAATTACACTCAGAATTGTCTGGTGAAAAACAGGAAAGTGGCTTATTTTATGAATTGATCAGTGACATGCTAAATGAATTGGACTTTTTCTATGTTGTTACATAGCTGATCTCTCTTCTGTTTTTTATCAATTCATATTTTTAAAATCAAATGTCAGATTGTAGTTACTGGAACACATTTTTAATATTATGAAGAGTCTTTAAAATTAACTGGAAGAGTCAGGCAGTGGTGGTGCACACCTTTAATCCCAACACTTGGGAGGCAGGGACAGGTAGGTGGATCTCAGTGAGTTTGAGGCCAGCCTGGCCCACTAAGGGAGTTCTAGTATAGCCAAGCCAGTTACACGGAGAAACCCTGTCTTGCAAAAAACAAAAAAAATAACTGGAAGAATTTATTATACCTTAAAATTTTTATCAAGGGCCAGTGAGCTGGCCCAGCAGGTACAGAGGCTTGCTGCCAAGCCTTGACAACCTGAGTTCAGTCCCTAGGACCTACATGTCCTCTGATCCCCACATACACACCGTGACACACATGCACGAAACCAGTGAGGGAAACAGAAGATCTTTTACTCACCTGGCAGGAGAGAAACCATGATCATGGAGATGGTTTCACAGACTGAGACTTACCCGCTGCTCTCAGATGGCCTGACGCCTTTGATTCCTCCGAACGCAGGAAACTCAACTGTCTAATTGTGGTAGTGTGGACTTGGTTCTCACGCTCCCTGTAAAAATTTTAGAAAAAGAAATCTTATCAGATTGACCTTAAGAACAAATATTAGCTTTAGTCTTTATAAATAAGCTCCCGTGACCTCACTAAAGGTGTCTCTGTTCCAGTGAGCTGCCCCAGCAGGTGTGGGGCTTGCTCCAAGCCCGACAGCCTGAGTTCTATCCCTAAGACCTCACATGGTGGGAGGAGAGAAATGAATCCCACATGATGTCCTCTGACCCGCCACATGTGCATTCCTTCCCCAACAAATATATCAATGTAATTAAATTCCTCTTAAATATTCTTGCCAGTTTTATCAAGTACTTACTTTTTAAATGCAATGATGATTATTTAAAGATTTTAATCATATTTAAGTGTCAAGAGAGATGAGTTTACCACTCTCAGTTATGTGGTATACTGCATAGAAATTTTTATCTTAAATTGGGGGGGGGGTATTTTTTAATTCAGAAAAAAAAATGTTACAGAAAAGGACAAAGTGATTTTATAGTTTCAGTACCTATTATATAGCTTATTTTAGAATGTCCTTTAGTCTTCCTTTTCTTGTGTTTATATGCACAAAAACAAGTTACACTGTAAGAAATCAACGTCAGGGTTAATTAAGAGGAAAAGGTAACCCTCTCCTCTGCCTGAACTCGCTGCTCAGTGGAAAGAACGCCTCCGTGCCAAACTTTCACACCAGTCGTGAAGTGAAACAGAAACTGGATTCCATTGCTTTTAAATATGAGCCACATTCCTATTTTAACCTGACCTGATTAAGGTGAAACCAGACTCCTCAGTATAATGGAAATCTAACACTCATCTGAAATGGGCTAGTGAGGTGTACATGGATTGCACTAGTTTAGTCCTGGTGAACTTGATAGAAAGTCAGTCTTTGGAACCCCTTGTAAATGTGCCCCCTTCAGCAGCCTCTACACCCACACTGGAGTGACACTGGGATGAGTGTGCCCTCTGTGCAAAGATCACGTGCAGGCCTGACCTGACATGAAGCTAAAAGGGGAAGGGCAAACAGCGGGGAGGGGACAAGAAGAGGTACATGATCTGCGTGTACGAAAATATCCTAAGGAAACTCATCCTCCTGTACAATGACTAGATGCTGTTAAAAAAGGAAGAAGAACCATGCATGGTATAATCTAGCACTGGAGAAACTGAGGAAGGTGGAGTCAAGAGTTTAAGGCCAGGCTAGACTACAGAGAGAGACCCCATCTCAAAAAGATAAAAACCAAACAGAAAAAAAACCCTATTGTTGTAGGTAAAAGAATATGGAATATGCCGAGTCTCATTTTATAAACTAACAGAGGCTTGTGAAGAATTCTTTTATTTATGTGTTGGACTCCAATAATACCTTTCAAATTGGCATTGATGATCTAGGACTTCTGTAAAGAATATCTATGGAAGTCAGGTGGTGGTGGCGCACGCCTTTAATCCCAGTACTTGGGAGGCAGAGGCAGGCGGATCTTTGTGAGTTCAAGGCCAACCTGGTCTACAGAGTGAGTTCCAGGACAGTCAGAGCTACACAGAGAAACCCTGTCTTGAAAAACAAAACATAAAACAAAAACAGGAAAAGGGGAGAGTATCTATGGAATAAACAAGATGGAACCAAAGAGAATTTTCTGTATAGGAGAGGAAAAAATATTCATTACTAGGGACGGTCCCATGTATTTCCCCTGTACCACATTTATGAACCAGTCATCATTTTGCTTAAGGTTAGATACAGAAGACTAGAGAAAGGAACAAATCTATTGTTTGTAGCTAATTTCAAAATCCCTTTCAACCTGGCCATGGAAATGGGTCGAATTGTACTGCTTGTTTTTATGTTTTTGTGGGGTTTTGCTTGTCTCTAAAGGCTGATAGCTACTTTGTTGTGGCTTGGAAGATATACTAATTCTCTTTGGGGTTTTCCTCTTTAGCGGTGGGTCTCGGAAAAATTCATTGTTGAGGGCTTAAGAGATTTGGAACTATTTGGAGGTAAGTACAGTCTGGCACTTAGCCATCATTTTAGGATAATTATCATTCTTCTGCTGACTAGGTCAATTTGGAGAGTTAGCAGTTTGGAGGGCAACTGTGAACTATAATTGTTAGAGTCACTGGCTTCCTTTTTAATCTGGTGTTTCCCAGAAATCTGTGAATGTATCAAGCAATTATTCTTGGCTTATCTTGATTGTTAGAAAGCATTTACAAAGACCTTTATGTTTCTCATAAGTGTTTGTCCAGTTAAAACACATACTGTTAAATTAAAAATTTTCCAAGTCCCTAAGGCAGGCCTGGCGGTAAAGGCCTGTAATTCCGGGTGCTTGAGAGGATGAAACAGCAGCAGTATGAGTTCAAGGCCGGTGGTGGCCCATATGTTTAATCCCAGCACTTGGGAGGCAGAGGCAGGCAGATCTCTGTGAGTTTGAGGCCAGCCTGGTCTACAGAGTGAGTTCCAGGACAGCCAGGGTTACACAAAGAAACCCTGTCTTGAAAAAGAAGAAAACAAAAAAAAAACAAGTTCAAGGCCAGCTTGGGCAACTTAGACCCTGAAACTGTCAAACTGAAAAGAAAGCCAGGAGCACAGTGGGAGAAGCTTTAGCAGGGTTCTGTCTCTAGTCTGTCTGTCTGTCTGTCTTTCTCTTTCTCTCTCTCTCTCACACACACACACACACACACACACACACACACACACACACACACATGAACGCACACAAAACAATAGGTCAAGACAAGGCTAAAAGTGATATAAAAGTTCTGATTGTATTGATCCATATAGTTGACTCTGTTTTTCATAGCAGGCATCGTGAAACTTTAATAGAACTAAGGAAAAAGATCAAAATCTATCAGGGCAAAAATACTAGCCTCCTATTGTAATAGGTTTGTTGATTCAGTAGTTTTCCCTTTGAGGTTTAATGGGTGCAGACATTCCCATTTGGCCCCTTCCAAAATAAGACCTTTTGGAAATGATGATCTTAGTTCAGGGCAAAGAAAACGTTCTCTCTGTAAAAGCAGTCGTAGTGGCTGGGCATGCTGGCACCCACCTGTTGCTGTCCCAGCACTTGTGGGGGCCAAGACAGAAGAATCATTGGTTTGAGGCCATCTTGCACTACATAAGGGAATTTAAGGACAGACAGACTGAATAACAAGACCTTGTCTCTAAAACCAAAGGATAGTTATAATAACAAAATAGTAGACCCCATTCATTGTTTCCAGCTAATCATGAACTTCCAGGTATCCTATAGGTGAAGAAACAGAAGTCCACAGTATCCACAGATAGACTAAGTAACTGAAAACTCAAATGTACTAATTACTGGGTAGTATATGTTAATTTATTTTCTTTAAAGAATCTCTAAGAAATTCTGGAGTAGTGGTGTTTATGGACTTTGTCAAAGTGTTACATTTTAGGTAAAAGCTCACAAAAAACATCTGATAGGCTCTTTTTGTTTTTATTATAACCAATAAAATTATTACAGCATAAACTAATGGAACATCTTCCTCCCATCATTAATGGGAATAAAATACTGTAACCACTGTGGATGATGAGACGGCTCAGTGGGTCAAGATGCTTGCTTTGTCTGGATCTTGTACCGGTGGCAAGAGAACCAGCTCTACAGAGTTGAACACGTACCATGACACGTGCTCACACACTAATAATCTTTATAGAAATTGATTCACAAGTTCCACTTATAATGCATTAGTCACGAATATTGCAGAATATGTGACTGAAATAAATGGATTCTCTGTTTCTGACTGTGGGGTCTTTGGATGGCTATTTTTTGTTTTTGTTTTTTCTTTTTGTTTGTTTTGAGGTAGGGTCTCACTCTGTGGGCTTGACTGGTCTCAAACTCACAGAGATCCCTCTCCCTCTTCCTCCCAAGTGCTGGCATTAAAGGGACATGCCACCACACCTAGCCTCTGGCCATCTTTGACAGCATCCTAGTCTGTGTTCTGAGGCTGGTAAAGAGGTTCTTCTCCTCATGGTCACAGCTCAGGGTAGTCAGTACCATCCAGTCTCACACAGCGGGGAGAAGAAGATTGAGCTGGATTTCATGTAACCGCCCCCACCCCCACCTTGGCCTCTCCCCTGACTGCTGGAAGCAGTCACTTCTGTTGTCCCTATACCAGGGCAGCTAATTGGGGGGCGGGGACTACTACTTTGAAAATCTGAGACCAAATTCCTCTTCCTCTTCCTCCTGTAGCGGGTAATGGGATACTTACTCTGTGTATCCGGTGAAAGGTGTTTTCCCTGGTGATTACCCTTTCCTCCTCTGATTTGCTGTGGTTTAAGGTGTTTAGAACTGTGGGATTTAAGATGTTTGAAAATGTGTAACCACCCCTGTACTTTACAGTGGAAGACCTAGACTAACCGTTTCTCCTGTGCTGGGCAGATGAAACTCGGGGCCCGCTGTTTGCCAGGCAGGCCTGCTCCCACAGCACTACCCCTCCAGCCCCCGTGTTAATGATTTTTATTACTTTTGAAGATGGAAAAACTCCAGGGTACACACAGAGGATTAGTGAGCAGGATGTCACTTGGCTGTCCTGTGACTTGTCCGTTTCATTCCCAGCAGCTGAGGCCCAAGGCCACTGCTGTACTCAGTGCAAACCCCCTGACTTTGAGAATCGAGCTGGGCAACAGTTTGGTTCCTTAGATGTGTGCTGCTGTGTGAAAACACTGTTGGCCTTAAAACCAAACAAGCCCCACCCACTCCCTCAAAAGGCAGTCTAGTCTACACTCTTCAGAAGTGGCCCACCAACCCTGTGCCCTTAAAATGAATTTTGGAGCCTGACACAGTGAGTCATGACTAATCTCAGTAATCTGAGAGGCTACAGCAGGAGGATTGCCACAAGTTCCCCACAAGAAGTGCTAGAAAGATGGCTCAGAAGTTAAGAGCACTGGCTGCTCTTCTGAAGGACCTAGGTTCAATTCCCAGCACCCATATGGCAGCTCACAACTGTCTGTAATTCCAGTTCCAGGGAATCTGACACCCTCACACAGACATACATGGAGGCAGAACACCAATGTACATAAAATAAAAATAATAAATCATTAAAAAAATTTAAAAAATTCTTAAAGAAATTTTTTAAAAAATGTGAATTTAGGGCCATGGGTGTGTAGCTCAGTAGTAGTTGCCTAGCCTGAGCGAGAATTTAAAGAACAAAGGGAAGAGGAAAAAGTGGATTTTTGGTTCACAAAGTATAATACTCAGAAACAGGAATATTCACAATAATAACCATGCTAATGGTAAGTACTCGTGTGCCAGGACTGTAGCTGTGGATAGGCTCACGTTCATGTGCAGGTCCCAGCAGGCTGCAGCCGTCTCACTGCGGGTCTGTGTGTGTGTGTGTGTGTGTGTGTGTGTGTGTGTGTGCATATGCGCTGTAATGACCTAAGTGCTTCCTATTAGTAACTGGAGTCCTAAGTGTGATAATTGCTGTTCTGAGTGTGAGTGTGTCTTCTGCTAACAACAAAATGCCAACCATCAATTTCTCTACCCAGAGCAGCCTCCGGGCGACACTCGGAGAAAAGTAAGTGCTTTCTGGGCTCTGGCTGCTGCATGGAGGTGCCGTCCGTCTTGTGGAGACTGTTTTGCTGGCTCTTGTGTTATGTGCTTCTGCTCTTCTGTCTTCTCAGCTTGATTTGTAGTACAGTTTTAATTTTTCCTTTTTTCTTTTTTTCCTTGCGATGCTTCAGGTTTCACCCTGGAAAGACTTTGGGGTGTACTTTAAAGACGTCTCAGCTGGACGTTAAAGTCTCCTCTCCTCTCAGGCCTCCTCATGACCCACCCCTCCCTTGCCCTCTAAAATAAGTTCATCATCAGCTTGAAATTCCAGTTTTTAGGGGCCGGTGCTTCTACCTTCCTCATCTGTAGACTGTTAATAGTACATTTCGAGTACCGGGCATGGTGGCGCCCGCCTTTAATCCCAGCACTCCCAGCACTCAGGAGGCAGAGCAGGCAGAGTTCGAGGCCAGCCTGGGCTACATAGCAAGATCCAGGACAGGCACCAAAACTACACAGAGAAACCCTGTCTTTAAAAACCAAAAAAAAAAAAAAAAAAACCCAGTAAATTTCAGTCTATTGAGAAAACACAGACTTCTCTCTGGCTCATAAGGCAAGACCTTATGTCTCCTACTGTAAAAAACAAAACCAAAATTACAAAGTACAACATAGGCTAGGTGTGGTGGTACCTATCTATCACACCTGTCATCCTAGCTCTCAAAACTGAGGGTGGGGTGGGGTGTACAGCTCTGTATGTCAAACATGCAGAAGGCCCTGAGTGCACCCTCAGGACAAGACAGAAGACAACAACCAGAGCCAGGCCTGGTGGCACATACCTATAGTCCCACCACTTGTGAGGTTGAGGCAAGAGGATAGCAAGTTCAAAACCAGCCTGAGCTGCTAGGGCTGATGCGATAGCTCAGCTGGTAAAGGCAGTTGTGCAACCCTGGGCACCAGAGTGAGAAATGAGCCTGAAGGATCCCTGGGACCCACGTAAAGGTGGAAGGAGAAGACTGACCTCCACACACACACACATTCCTGCTCACAGATACACGCAATTGAAAAACCAAAAATTTAAAACTCAACCTCCCCCACACCAAAAAAACAAAACAAAAAAAACCCCATACAAAACAGATTTTTTTTTTTTTCCTACTGGCACAAGCTGCAAGAGTCTTGCTGTCTCCCCACGCCTGTGCTTTATTTCCCTAAGTAAATAGCACCAGATGTGCACGGTGCACCAAGCTATTTTGGAAAATGTGAATCATTGTCTTATAAAAAGAGAGCACAGTGGCTGGGCACGCTTACACTCGTCTGTGGTCCCAGCACTCAGGAGGCTGAGGCAGGAGGATTACCAGGATTTGTTGGAGTGAGACCCTGAGAGAGGTGGGGGACAAGGACGGGACCTGGGAGGGGTAGGAAGAGAACACTCTGCTTGGCAGAGCCCTCTTCCTGTGGGTGCTTTGGTTGGCAGCCCAAGGCTGAGTGAAGGATAGTGATGCAGATTAGTTCTGACCCTGCTTACTCCCTCTCAGGAGGGAGGCCTGTCCCTCGGACCCAAGGGTTTTCTCAGGAGACAAGAAAATACATTTTTAAAACTTCATTCAAAATTTTAAAAACTTAAAAGATCAGATTTTTTTCATAAGAAATACTAATTACTATTTTTCATAAGAAATACTAAATACTAATTTTCATATGCTCATAGCTACTGATGGTCTAGCAAAAACTGCCCTGGGTGAAACCTGTAGAAAGTTGAATGTGTTCATTTGGTGATGTTTCATAAATGCTGTCTTATGCTTTATTGGATTTTGTTTTAAACAATGCTACTGTTTTATGGTTATTTCTAGGTGTCAATGGCTTATGTGTCTTTAAAATGCTTCAAAACAAGTAAAATGTTTTTTAATGCTGTGGGGACCCAAAGGAAAAAAAATGAACAGAATTAGTGTCTTTCCTTGAGCGATTTGAGATTCCAGGGTACAGTGGTGTAACTTACACTGTGCTCTGTTTAGTGAGCCAGAATTTCGTCCCTTTGCGCTAAACATAGACTTTAAAATCTGCAAGAGTTTAATGAGCTAATAACCCTGATCTGGTCAAGCCCAGAGTTCACTTCAGTGGCTCTGGTCTTACATTAACCACAGCTGACTCTTCAACCCTAGCTGACAGATTCTTAATTCTTAATTCAAAATATCACATGACCAGCCCCGGTGGTCTTTGCTTCCTCCTGAAACTTGACAAGTCAACTCTCCATCATCTGCTCCACTCTCAGCATTGTCTTCCAAGGTCCCAACAGCTCAGTGAGCTCTGAACACTCAGCAGCTTTTCCAGGCCCCAAGTCCTGCATCCTTCCCAATCTTCCCACCAGAGCCGGCGGCTGTCACAGCAGTGCCCTGTGAACCCGGCACTGCTGTCTTAGTTTGTTTTCTGTTGCATGCTCTTTACTTGGAAGGAAACTTGGGGAGGAAAGGGCTTTTTAACTTAACATATTCTGAGTCACAGTCCGCTGAGGGAAGTCAGGGCAGGAACTTAAGCTTTAGGAGTCTGGAAGCAGGAACTGAAGCTGATGCCATGGGTGAACGCCACTTACTGGCTTTCTCTATGGCTTGCTCAGATCGCTTTCTTACACCACTGATGACCACCTGCCCATGGGAGGCCCCACCCACAGTGGGCTGGGCCCTCCCGCATTAGCCATTAATCAAGAAAATACCCCACAGACTTGCCTACAAGCAATCAAATGGAGGCATTTTCTCAATTGAGGTTTTTTTTCTCCCAGGTAAATCTAGCTGGGTCAAGTTGAGAGAAAACTAACCAGGACACCCCCTTTTTCTGTCAGTGGCAGACCAAACCTCTCAGAAATCCTTCTGTATTTTAAATCCATCCATGGAAACCAGTTCAGATGCGTACTTTATTTCTAGTCTCTGTTAGATGAGTATAGAAACGTAGTGGTGCAGGTGACCTGAAGGTGACTACACAGAATGACTAAACTTGTTACTCAGAACATTAAAATATTTCTGTCCTGCTTACAAAACTATTTCTCTCTTTCCCACTTGGTTTGCTTTCCTGAGGAAAGCTTAGCCTCTGACAGGCACAGCCACAGAGTGGGAGCTGAGTCAGGCAGAACTGTGGAGAAGCCACAGCAGCCTCGAGACTAGTTCATCTCCTGCAGCTCCACATTTCCCAGTACCTAAAAAAACGCTTGCTGAAGGTTATACGTCCCAGTCATTTTCTGTACAACTAGATCTTGGAAGTATTTGTCAAATTACTACAAATTCATTGAGCCCATCCCTGCCCTTGCTCACCAAGAAATGCTGTGGTTGGAGCTCAGTAGGTAGAGTGTCTTGTCCGCCTCCCTGCCGGGAAATAGGACACAAGTAATAAAGGAGTTTCCATTCGTAGATTCCCAAAGAGTCGTTTAATTACATATAATAAAAGAGCAAATATAATAAATATTTTACTCTGGGGACTCAATTTCTCTTCCTCATCTCTTTTTCAAACTGGAGAAAGTGTAAGAAGTTTGGAAATGGAGAGAAAGCTTTAAACACAAAGCAGTTGCTCCTCATCAGGGCCGTAGTGTTACTCGCTTTAAAAAAAGTAATGCTTGCTTGCGTGCAGGGATCAGGCTGTAGTAAAGGTGCTGCAGGACCAGCGTGCCCCATCTCTTTGAGCCTGTTTCCAGAGGAATTGTCATTCACCCTACTCTCTCCTTCTCCAGAGAAGGTTGCAGAAAACTCCCTGAGTTCCTACTTTGCTCTCATGATTGTCCAGTTATTCTGGTGATTACTATTATTACTGGTGATACGGCAGTGAACCTGACAGACAAGGACCCTGTCGTGTGGAGCATGTTCCAGTGGAGTTGACAGGAAATAGCAGTGACTTCTGTGAAGAATGTAAAGCAAAGTAGCATACTACACAGCATACTCCGCTGTGCTGGGCAGAGTCATCTCTGAAGTATTTGAGACCTAAATGATAAGAAGACAGTGATGAGAAAATGATGGGCATGTGTGTATTTGGTGTACAACTGGATGGGGCAGGGGCAGCCTTAGCTACATAGAGTTTGAGGCTAGCCTAGGTTATATGACACTGTCTCAAAACCAGAACAACAGCAACAACAACAAACAGTGGGGATGGAAGTTGTAGCCATGTGGGAGTGTTCCAGTTAAAGGGCCTGGGGAGATGGTTCCAAGGTTGAAAAGCCTCTGCTGCTCTTGTAGAGGCCCAGGTTCAGTTCCCAGCACCCTGTGATGACTCAAAACCATCTGTAACTTTGGTTCCAGGTAATCTGGCTCCCCCTTCTGGCCCCCACATGTATTGCACACACTTAGTGCACTTACATATGTGCAGACAACACACACATTGTCTTAGTGTGCTTTCTGTTACTATGATAAACACCACGACCAAAAGCAACCTGGGGACGAGAGAGCTTCTTTCATCCCACATCTTGTAGTCCATCACTGAGGGGTGCTGAGGCAGGAACCCAGAGGCAGACACTGCTCCTAACCACAGAACAGCCCATTAAGGTCTAAGTACTCAATGGCTTTTCCAGCCCAAAGTTGTAAACTCATCTGCAGTCCTCCCCAGAACAACATGGGCAGGCCTGTCCAGCAGTACCCACAGACCTGGTACTTAGTTTGTTCTCTATTGCTGTGATAAACCCATGACCAAAAGCAATGTAAGGAAGAAACTTGGGGTTTATTTCAACCTACAGCTTATTGTGTCACTGAGGGAAGTCAGGGCAGGAACTGAAAGAACGCTCCTTACTGGCTTGCTCCCCGTGGCTTGCTTATACCAACCAGGAGCACCTGCCCAGGGGTGGCACCACCCACGGAGGGCTGGACCCTCCCACAGCAATCATTAATAAGAAAATGCTGTAGACTTGCCCACAGTCAATCTGATGGAGCCATTTTTCTCAACTCAGCCAGTTTCCTCACCTGAGATTCACTCTTCCCAGATGACTCCAGCTTGTGTCGAGCTGGACAGAAGACAAACTAGGACACAAAATAAAAACAAATGTAAAAAAACGGTTTTCCAGGTGAGATGATTGGTACAGGTTCACTAAGAACAGAGACATGCTTGTTGTATGGGGAAAGTGGTGGGGAGATGAGGTCAGTGAAGTGGGCAAGTCTAACCTTGTGGACACTTAGGCCAGGGCAGGGACTAGATCTGATTGTAACCCACTGAGCTGCCTGAGAACCACACACTGGTTTTATTGAGAGCGAGAGTATTCAAGAGGACTGGCAGTGTGGCTCAGTAGGGTTAGGTCCTAGCTGTGCAGACCCAGTGACCTGACTTCAGTTCCCAGTTATAGGGGTTAAAGGAAGAAGGAGAGAACTGACTCCCCAGAGATGTTCCCTGACCTCCAAAGCGCATACATGCACACCCACACATGTACATTATACACACACAGTAATAAAAAATGAAATAAATAAACAATTAAAAATATGCAGGCACTGAGATTGTGATGTGAATTGTGTAATTATTTTTGAAAGCAATATGTCATTGTCTCATAAAGTTGGCTGGTCATGGGGTAATTCTGTCAAGAGACATAGTCAAACATGTTTATAGTAGTGCAGTTTGTCATAGCAGAGTTGGAAAAAATCCAATCTCATCAGTGTTGGGATGGATAATTTGAGATATATTCCTGAAAGCAATATTATACAACAGTGAAAGTCAATACTATAACTAAATAGAATATCATGACTGAGTCTTAGACTATAAAAAATGGATTAAAAAGCCAGGTGTTGGTGGCATACACCTTTAATCCCAGCACTCAGGAGGTAGAGGCAGGCAGATCTCTGAATTAGAGGCCAGCCTGGTCTAAAAAAATGAATTCTAGGACACCTAGAGCTGTTACACAGAGAAACTCTGTCTTGAAAAACAAAAATAACAACGTAAAAAAGGTGAATTAAATTGGAAATAGATTTTATTAATAGGGATCCATTTTGTTCAGTTGGAGCCCTCTTAGTGTCTCTCTCTCCCTCGCCCTACCTCACCTCATGTGGTTTTTTTTTTTTTGAGACAGGGTCTCACTGTGTCCTGGAACTCATTATGTAGATCAGGCTGGCCTCAAGCTCACAGAGCTCTTTCTACCTCCCCAGTGCTGGGATCAAAGGTGTTTGCCACTATGCTCAGCTTTTAGTATCACTCTTAAAGTGGTGGTAAGAGTGATAAGGCAGAGCCACTTGGCCTTTTAATGGAGATGGGCATTACTACTTGTTTTAACAGGTGTACTCAGACCATCAATCCACAGGACACTGTCCCTGCAGAGGCCTGGATCCTGTCTGTGTCACATGATCACTTTCTCCTTTTTAGCAAATCGTTTGCCTCCTGGGCCTCATTTTGTTATTGAAAGAACATTAGTGGGGTGTACTCCTGTAATCTCAGCACTTGGGAAGCAGAGGCAGGAGGATTGCCATGTATTCCAGGCCAGCCTGGGCAGCACAGTGAGTTCCAGAGAGCCAGGGGTGCTCATGGTGCGTGCCGTCCCACCCCAGCACTCAGGAGTTCAAAGGTAGGCAGACCTCTCAAGGCCAGTCTGCTCTACAAAGACCTTGTCCTTTTTTTTTTTTTAATAAGTATCTGTCCACCTCTTCCTCTGGTGTGGGGAAGGGAGATCAGATAGGGTAAATGTTCTCTGAAGAGCATATTTAAATAGGACGCCAAGCACAGTGTTTTTGTGGCAGCTCTGCAGTCACAGTCTTGGTGACTGTCCAGGTCACAATGTTCTCACCTTTACCGTTAGTGCCGAGTCAAGAGCCATTTGTGCGTTTACAACAATTTCTTCTGATTCAAGGCCAGGTTTGTTTTGTTTTGTTTGGCTTTTGGAGACAGGGTCTCCTGTAGCCAAGGCTGGCCTGGAGCTCCTGATCCTCCTGCCTCCACCTCCTGAGTACTTGAGGCCAGGCTTATGAAGCCTGGTATACGGCATAGGAAGCCGGCCTCACATTTCTCTATTCCAGCTAGACACACCTGAAAGAAGAAGGTGTACGGAGATAAATACTCTCCCCGGGTCATACGAATGCATTAGGGCCTAGAAGGAAAGCAGGCCTGTGAAAGCTGTTTTGCTTCCCACATTCAGCACTGCTGGCCACCTTTCTTCAGGACTTCAAAGGCTAGAGGTGTCCACCTCCTCAATAACTGGTATCCCCATTCATCCCCAGCCTGAGGAGGCAGGGACCCAGGAGGCTGAGCATGCAGACTCTGGGCCTGTAGCTCAGGGAGTCAGTTACTCTTCCCATCTCTTGGGAACGTCAGGAATGACTGGCCTGGACTCTTGGTTTGCTAAAGGAACGGGACTCCTCTAGCAATGTTCCTCTATAGCAGTGGTTCTCAACCTTCCTAATGATGTGTGTGACCTTTTAATACAGTTCCTCATGCCATGGTGATCCCCAACCATAAAATTATTTTCACTGCTACTCTATAACTGTAATTTTGATACTGTTATGAATCGTAATGCAAATATCCAATATGCAAGATATATGATATATGACCCCAAATGGGTTTTGACCTACAAGTTGAGAACCACTGCTCTAGAACAAGATTGCAGGTCTGACCATTTAGAATCTTAGAGTTGTGCCTTAAAAATTGGAGCCCAATGAAGCAGAAAACTGAAACCCCTGTATTTCTCCACCCCTGGCTTTTTTTGTTTGTTTGTTTGTTTGTTTGTTTGTTTGTTTGTTTCGAGACAGGGTTTCTCTGTGTAGCTTTCCGCCTTTCCTGGATCTCGCTCTGTAGCCCAGGCTGGCCTCGAACTCACAGAGATCCGCCTGCCTCTGCCTCCCGCCGAGTGCTGGGATAAAAGGCGTGCAAAGGCATGTGCCACTACTGCCCGGCTCATGTCTTTCTTCATAGATCTTTTCCCAGCCAAGAACTTGATAGACTTTAGCAGTCCGTCATTGGAAAGGGGAACAGTTGACTGGGACAGTTGTCCTTGTTCATGGATTGCACACTTGGTCAGCGGAGAGTGCTGACTGAACACCCGTGTGTTGTGTTCCTCTTCAGGTGGAGCCAGCACTGTGCCTTTACCACAGCCAGGGTTGCTGTGGATGCGGTGGAAGTGAATCTCCTCGCGCATCTGTTACCACCTCTGCCCCCACCCCATTTTCTCAGTTAACCTCTTTTTCTTTGTCTTCAGGCCAATGAGGCGAGCTCAGAGTCCATAGCATCCTTCTCTAAACCGGAGATCATGAGTAGCTTTCTGCCAGAGGGCGGGTGTTACGAGCTGCTCACCATCATAGGTAATTCCCAGGGACATGCCCACCTTCCCGCTATAGCCTCCTCTGCTAGCTTCGAGGAGTCATGGCGACAGTGGGCTTCTGTGGGTTTCTTGTACCAAGTATGGGAGAAATCATTTCTAGGAGGCCATAGTCCACTGTGATGATTGGCTGAGAAGGACTGTTGGGAAAATGAAGAAATGTCAGATCTGAAAGTAGCAGTATTGAACATTCTAACTAGAATTTCCTGCTGAAATTGAGCCCCTTTAGAGTAGTTAAGTCTTTGTGGCTGATTGTTTGAGTCGCTGCTCTTTTTTTTCAGGCAGAGGATTTGAGGACTTAATGACAGTGAATTTAGCCAGGTACAAACCAACAGGAGAATACGTGACGGTGCGCAGGATCGACCTGGAAGCTTGTTCCAATGAGATGGTGACGTTCTTGCAGGTAATGAAGTGTGGCTGTGGCCACCCTGGAGGTGGGCTCCCGGTTACATAGTCCTACCGTCTCATTCCTCTACACGGTTCTTCAGGACACTGAGGCGGGCCGTGTGTTAGGACGTCATGAGGCATCAGTGGAGAATCTTACAGATTTGATAATGCCCATCAGGCTGGCAGGGGTCCCTGGGCAAGGTGATAGGAAATGTCTCCTTGTGCTCCACAGTTACCATTTGTCTATTAGTTCGGTCAGCTCATACTTTGATGTGTAGTGGGAAAATATTTTTTGTTTTTAGATAGCATCTTGCTGTTACCCAGCCTGGCCTCAAATTCACAGCCCTCCTACCTCAGCGCCTGAGCTGGGATTGTGCTCTTGACTGAAAAGGAGTGTGTGCTTGGCCTTTGGGATGGAGCTAAGCGAGCCACTTCCAAGTCTTCAGCACTGTGTCATTTTTGTCGTCAGAGGCGGTTGACTCACTGTGCCACAGCAGTGGCCCTGCGTGGTGAAGAGTTGCTTTTGGAGGCTCTTGGGTATTGGTGGCTGGCAGGGCCACCCGAGGCCTGAGTGGACAAATTGGGTGGCTTTCCTCCACTGGAAGGACTCTGAGGAGAGCATCCAGAAGGCACGAGGTCTCCACACTTTGACACCGCCCTCCTCATGTTGGATGCCACTCGTGATCCGTGATCCTGACCTCAGCTCTGCCGTTGTTTTCAGGGGGAGCTTCACGTCTCTAAACTCTTCAGCCATCCCAATATAGTGCCATATCGAGCCACCTTCATCTCAGACAACGAGCTGTGGGTCGTCACATCATTCATGGCATATGGTGAGTGGGAAGGTTCTGAGATCACTTGACGGTCCCTTCTGTGCTGGTTTCTTTCTCCTGTTACCCTTGGCATCCTTTCAGGTTCTGCAAAGGATCTCATTGGCACACACTTCATGGATGGCATGAATGAGCTGGCGATCGCATACATTCTGCAGGGGGTGCTGAAGGCCTTGGACTACATCCACCACATGGGCTATGTGCACAGGTGCGTTCCAAGCCACTTTACCCATACTAGTGAAGCTGGAGTCCCGAATCAAGGATCTGGACTCTGAGCTTGCCACTCAGGGTACAGTCATTAGCCTGTCCCGGCTGAAGTCACTTGATCTTTTGTGTGAGAGGAACATCTACTGTGGACCACTGGCCCCTGACCCCTGCCTTACTTCTGTGGGCCTCAGAGCAGGCCCATGGCCAGGCAAAGACAGATTGCTCAGTTGTTGGTGTCAGGAAAACCAGCTCCGAGTGGGGAAGAGAACGGAACTGGGCCCTCCTTCCACTTCACGATTCCAGGGGTCAAGCTGAGGTTGTGAGGCTTGGCAGCAAGTGCCTTTACCCCCTGAGCCGTCTCACAAGCCCCAAACTGCAGACCTGTGTAGAAGGCAGTGTGGGGGAATAGTTTTGGAACCTAGATACACAAGGACTAGACATTTAAAAGCAAAAAGCAAGAAAATGATACATTTGATTACATCAGCTTTAAAGGTTTCTGTCTCATAAATGACACTGTGAACAAAGTAATATATACCAGAGTGACAGATGTTAGCTTTGTCTAAACATACATGAGCGACAAGAAGATCATACAGAACAAGTGGAAGCCAGCAGAGTGGCAGGATGGGCGTTAGAGCAGAGCAGACCCAGCAGTCACAGGGACACACACTCAGCCCTAGCAATCATAAAACCGCAAATGAAGACATGTTGTCACATTGTGTGAGTGACTGGCTAGGTTAGGAAGCTGGAACCCAGTGCAGCCAGTCAGTCAGCGGCATGGACGCGGGCTCAGCACCCGCTCTGGCTGTGTGCCATCAGTGGACCTGCGTGCTGACTTCTGCTGCATGCCAACGTTTGCTACATTTGCACGCACTGAGTAGAAGCATCTTGAGTGTCTCTCCCTGGAGAATGGGAAATGGTAGGTCTCTGGGCTAGAGTGGCCAATCAGAAGTGAGAATTTGAGGTGTATAGCCCGCAACAAGGATGAGTCTTTGAAGTCAGCACTGAGTGAAAGAAGTGAATTGCTTCGCAGAAAGCGATTAGGTAGATTTAAAGCACACACATGCACTTCCCAAGAATGTCCAAGAACACAAAGTAAAAGTGTTAGTATAAGTCAGACTGCAGCATGCATAGCAGATCTCTGTAAGTTCCAGGACAGCCATGCTACATGCAGAGACCTTGTCTCAGAAGCAAACAAATAAAAATCATTAGTCTACCTGATATGGTGGTGGATACCTGTAAGAGAGGCAGATGTCATCATTAAGACTCTGGGGCCAGCCGGGCAGTGGTGGCGCATGCTTTTAATCTCAGCACTCGGGAGGCTGAGGCAGGCGGGTTCTCTGAGTTTCGAGGCCAGCCTGGTCTAGAGAGCAAGATCCAGGACAGGCACCAAAGCTATACAGAGAAACCCTGTCTTAAAAAAAAAAAAGAAGAAAAAAAGAAAAGAAAAATGACTCTGGGGCCAGCCTAGATTACATAATGAATTCCAGGCTGCCTGGGACCATCCGCTGGAACATGGTCGACATGCCAGGAACCACACTATTTAATAAAATGGACTCTCCCTCCCCCAGAAGCCATCGACCTGTAGTTGGAGCCGGAGGCTTGTGAGCTCCTCTCTCCTCCATGCTAGAGTGCAGACTGGCTTGGTCTTCTTGGAGTCCTACTCAGGTAGCCAGTTTCGTGATTCATGAATGTGGTGGTTGGGTTGTGTCCAGAAGACACTGGTCAGGTCTTCCTACCTCCAGCTCTTACAGTCTTCCTGTCCCTTTTCTTTGCAATGGCCCTTGCGCCTTGATGGGAAGAGAGTGATACAGATGTCTTGCTTGAGACTGACCACTCTGTAGACACTTAGTAACTGCACTTTGACAAGTTGTGAGTTCCTGCAGTAGTCATCATCCATGGCACAAAGAAACTTCTCTGATGAGGGTTGAGAGCTGCACTAATCTGTGGGTATAAAGGTACAAATCTAGAGGGCACTTTGACAGTAGGGACATAGTAAGTTTTAAAATATAATGTCAACATGGGGGACAGAGGTGGCTTAGCAGTGAAGAGCACACACCGCTCTTGCAGAGGGCCCAGCACCCACATTGGGTTGTTGACAGTTGTTTGTAATTCTAGCTCCGAGAGATCTGACCACTTGGGCTCCTGTAGGCACAAGCACAAATACCCCACACCCATAACTAAAATGAAACAACTTTAAGCTGGAGAGACAGTTCAGTGGTTAAGAAAGTTGACTTTTTTTGCAGAAGTCTTGAGTTTGGTTCCCCAGCATCTACATTGGGTAGCTTGCTACTGCCTGTAACTCTAACTCCAGGGGGCTGGCACTCTCTTCTAACCTTCTTGGGCACGGTACTTGTGCAGATACCCCCAGACATGTGCACATAAACCTCTTTTTTTTTTTTTTAAATCAAATGACTGGGTGTGGCACACACCTTTAATCCCAGCACTCTGGAGGCAGAGGCAGGTGAATCTATGGGTTCAAGGCCAGCCTGGTCTACAGAGTGGGTTTCAGGATAGTCAGGGTTACACTGTCTCAAAACCCTGCACAAAAAAATCTAATGGTACATGAATGGGGCCATGTTATTTTCTTGTTTTCAGGTATGTTTGAAAAGTTCATTTATATATGTATGAGATGCTCTTATATGCATGTGATATACACATGGGAGAGAGCTGACCAGGTCTAATATTTGAAGACTGCAGATTTGTAGCATCGGGGCATGCCCATGACGCTGTCTTCATCTCCCCACAGGAGTGTCAAGGCCAGCCACATCCTGATTTCCACAGATGGGAAGGTCTACCTGTCTGGTCTACGAAGCAACCTCAGCATGATCAGCCATGGGCAGCGGCAGCGTGCAGTCCACGATTTTCCAAAATATAGCGTCAAGGTTCTGCCGTGGCTCAGCCCAGAAGTCCTCCAGCAGGTCTGTGTCCTTGGGCCCCAGGAGCCCTTCCTCCCACCACTCGTAATCTCACAAGGAAGCATGAGAATTTGCTGCCATGGGGCTTCTCCCTGTTACTGGTGGAGTAAGAGGTTCTGGAGGGAAGAGTCCTTGTTAGCCGAGGGTGCCTTAGCACCGCTCATCACAAGCATTGCCTGCTAGCTGTGGGTTTGTGGGGTCCCCAACCTGACACTAGTGTCTGCCTCAGGGCCACATCCCACCCTGTGGATAGAGAACATTCTGGAAATACTTGGTGCTCTAGATCCCTGTGCCAACCAGGCGCACCCCCCCCACCCCCCCAAGTGAGACTGCTCATTTCATAACAGCAGCCAACATCTGCTCTCCTCACAGAGCAGGTACCCACAGTGAAGGTGAGGAGCGTGCTCAGCATCTGGTCTGACTGGGCCGGGCATTCATTACCTCCCCAGTTTTTGTACCTTCAAGTTAAAGAAAGGCCAGGGCTGCAAGTGGAGTCATCGGTGGCTTTTTTCTTCTGACTTAGAATCTTCAGGGTTATGATGCCAAGTCTGATATCTACAGTGTGGGGATCACAGCGTGTGAACTAGCCAATGGCCATGTCCCCTTCAAGGATATGCCTGCCACTCAGGTGAGCCTGCAGTCCAGTGTTCCCTTCCTTCCCACCTGCCTGCCTTCCACAAATGTCTGCTGCTCCCTGCATGCTGGGACACTGACTATGGTTACTGACACCATAGACAGTCGGTCTTTTTTCTTCGAGAACTTTCCCACCCCCTCAGTGGAGGGGTGCTTGAGCAATTCTTTGTTCCCTTCTCTGGTGACAAATGTTGTGGTCACGGAGCCCAACCCATGGGCTGGAACAAGTAGGAGAGTGCAGAGAGAGGCCACGCAACACACGACCCGGCACGGCTGTGCGCACTGAGCAGCGCTGACTGTCTGGTTAGGCGGTCTTCAGTTTATTTTGTGGAATAACCTCTTCTGTAGTTCAGGCTCATATCAAACACAGCAGTCCTCCTGCCTCAGCCCCCAGGTTTTGCGATTATGGGCATGTACCACCATGCCTAGCTGAGCTGCTCTATCCTTAAAAACTCATCAGATATATCCTGTCTTCCTTCCTTGATAAGTACAACTAGATCAGTATCCAGTTTCAAATTCTCAGGCACCTCTGAGTTCTGTGCCACTGTATTCTGGCACACGCTCTTAGATCCTGCATTCTGTAATTCAGCTTCTACTCAGACCCCTGCACATGCCTGCCTTTTGGCCACTACTTAGGCCAGTCTTGGACAGACAGACCCAGAGAAGAACTTGTGCAGGCCCTGACACACCCAAAAAGTGGAGTTGGGATTGTCTGGGCAAGTGTTACCTGAATCTCATGTGCCTGCAGCAAGTTCTAGAACCAGGAAGAGGCAAGAAACTCTGAGCAGGCCTCCTCCCTTAGGCTCACAGACTGCTCACCTTGAGGTCACAGGCTGAAGATAGAGAATGGCTGAGTAAGCTACCTCGAGCAGAGACCAGAGGAACTTCTAGGGGGCAATAATACTTTGTCTAAGACCAAAAAAAAAAAAAAAAAATTTGTGTGTACACACATATGCACACACGTTACATGTGTGCAGTTGCCTAAGGAGTTCAGAAGAGGGCGTCGGAGCTCCTGAAACTGGAGTCAGACAGTTGGAAGCCACCCAACATGGGTGCTAGGAACCAAACTCAAGTTCTCTGTAAGAGCAGCAAGCTTCCTTAACCACTGGGCCATCTGTCCAGCCCCTGGCCTAGCCTTAAAAACTAATAGCATTTGACCATATAAAGAGTGGGAACAAAAGCCTACTCTGACTGGAAGTATAGGTCAGTGGTGGATGTACCAGGCTGTTTCTTTTGGGCCACCAACCAGCTCCCAAATTATGACACAGAGACATCTTATTAGTTATGAATGCTTGGCTTTATCATAGCTCTTATTTTAATCTGTTTTTGTTTATCTGCGTTGGCCTCAAGGCTTTTTACCTTCCTGTGTGGCTGTCCCCTTCACTTTCTCCTTCCTTCTCTCCATCTGCTCCTCCTTTGCATAGATTTCTCCTGCTTATTCGCTCTGCCTGCCAGCCTCTCCCATTCTTTCTCTGCCTAGCTATTGGCTGTTCAGCTCTTTATTAGACCAATCAGATGCCTTAGGCAGGGTGAAACAGCAACATATCTTTAAATAATTAAAAATGCAGCATAAACAAAAGTAACACACCTTCACACAGTTAAAGTAATACTCAGCAACATTAACAAATGTAACACATCTTTACAGAGTTAAAATAATATTCCACAACAGTCGAGGGCTTGCCTAGGATATGCAGAGTCCTGAGTTCAGTCTCCAGCAACGTACAGACGTGGGGCATGACAAAGAATTGTAAATGGCTGGGGTCCCGGGGGCTGCTGGGTGATGAAGCTGGAGAAGGAAGCAAGAGCATCCTGTGTATGATCCCTGGGGCCTTTGGTTCATGTCCCAAAGAATGGGGAAGTGCTGAATATAGAAGCATAGGGGTGATAACAGCAGATTAGCTGTCCATCTGTCTATCTGAAAGGTGACTTAAATCTGTCCATTCTAGTTCCTAGCTTAAGTAAGCTCTGATAGAATAAATAGGGTGGAGCCTAGGTATAAGAAATGTGTAAGAAAAATAATTGAGTAACAGGAGATGCTCATGAAGGAGGAAGATGATTAGTTAGTGTGAACCTTGTTAATTTGAGCTAGTTAGTGTAAACCTAGTTGGTGTGAACCACTAACCTAGTTCAGAAGCGGCATTGTCCAAGAAAACCTGCTGCCATAATGAAAGTGTCTGCCCCTCCACTGTCCACAATAAAGGATCCACTAGCCATTTGTTATGTTGATCACTTAAAATGGGGCTGCTGAGATGGAGGGATTGACTTTTAAGGCTAACTTAAATAGTCAACTGGTTAGAGGCTCCCACGTTAGCACAATCCCAGAGACATCTCCAAGTTCTGTTTGGATTGCTCAGGAGGTTCCTGAGGTCACTTACAAAGACAGCTGTCTTCAAGGTGTGGCTAGTTTTGCATATGTCAAATTTGAAAGCTTTGAAACAGGCTCCCAAGTCGGGTCTGCCCCTGGTGCAGCATGCCCATCCACCCAGGGTGCTGTGCTTCAGATGCCACAGTGGGGGCTCACTGGACCCCTCTGGGCTTCACAGAGAGTGATGACGCTCTACCTCTAGCCTAGAGAGAGGACTCGGGAGTTAGAGGAGCCACGCCTCGGAAAGGGAGAGAGGAGGCCGGGCTCTTCGGCCCAGCCCTAGTGAAGGGCACTCGGAGCCCTCCGCTCCCATTCTGCCCTCACTGCCAGCAGTGGCCAGTGTTCCTTTGCAAAAGCCCGATGTCCATGGTGTCTTAGGGTTTTCACTGCTGTGGTGAAACACCAGGACCACAAGTAAGTTCGGGAGGAGAGGGTCACTTTGCTTACACTCCCAGGAGACAGCTCATCACTGTGGGATAGCAGGGCAGGAACCAGGAGGCAGGAGCTGAAGCAGAGGCACGGAGGGGTGCTGCTTACTGGCTTTCTCCTCATGGCCTGCTCAACCTGCTTTCTACAGAACCCAGGACCACTTGCCAAAGGGTGGTACCAAGGGCCTGACCCTCCCCCATCAGACACTAATTAAGAAAATGCCCACTGGTCAGTGGTAGCGCACGCCTTTAATCCCAGCACTCGGGAGGCAGAGGCAGGTGGATCTCTGTGAGTTCGAGGACAGCCTGGTCTACAGAGTGAGTTTCAGGACAGCCAGAGCTACACAGTGAAACCCTGTCTCAAAAAACAAACAAAAAAGATAGGGAGAAAACGCCCTACAGGCTTGCCTACATCCCGTTCATATGGAGGCGTTTCTCATGGGGCTCCCTTCTCTCAGGTGACTCTAGTTAGTGTCAAGTTGACATCACCCTAGCCAGCCCCCGACCTTCATCTTCTTTCCCAGAGGTCCCATTTGTTCAAGGGAGTGACGACGGTATTTGTGAGGAGAGTTGGCTGTCGGGGCCCTGCACCCCAGACCTGGTTTTCTGTCTCCTCCAGATGCTGCTAGAGAAACTGAACGGCACGGTGCCCTGCCTGTTGGACACCAGCACCATCCCTGCCGAGGAGCTGACCATGAGTCCCTCACGGTCCATTGTCAACCCTTCCCTGAATGACAGCCTCCGGCCTTCCAATGGCGACTCGCCCTCCCACCCCTACCACCGGACCTTCTCCCCCCACTTCCACCACTTTGTGGAACAGTGCCTTCAGCGCAGCCCCGACGCAAGGTACCCACCCTGCCGGCCATCAGCGGGGCGTCCGGGGCCAGAGGGAGCTTGGGAGCTCCAGCCAGCAGGGAGGCTGGCTCTTAAGGAGAGACCTGACTCCAGAGGAGTGTGTGGCCCCACAGCAAGAAGACTCAGCTTTCTGTCAAGAAGCTAGCCTGGGTGGCTCTGGCTGTTAGCTGTTGGGAGAGCTGAGGGAAGAGCTGGAGGGTCTCGGAGGAGAGGATGAATGTCAGGGTTTGGACAGCTGAGCCCAGGGGTCACATGGGTCTCTTCCCCTTTCTCTCCAGGCCAAACGCCAGCACCCTCCTGAGCCACTCCTTCTTCAAGCAGGTATGGAAGCACTCCCGGGTTCCAAATCTGCTGCTGCTCACCTGTGGTTCTAGCTACCCTGGCCCCTTAGCTTGGGGGTAGGTGTTCTTCCTCTGCCTGTTTGAACTAGAGGGATGACCCTGTTTCTGAAGCCCTAAGAGGCACTCTCCTGCCTTTCCTTTCCTTTCTGGACCCTGGGCACCACAGGGCAGGAACCACGGCCTGGTAGACTGAAGGTCTGTGGTGTCCTGAGTTGTAGGGTCCACTGTCCAATTGTCTCTCTCCCTCAGATCAAGCGACGTGCCTCAGAGGCGTTGCCCGAGTTGCTTCGCCCTGTCACGCCCATCACCAACTTTGAGGGCAGCCAGTCTCAGGACCACAGTGGGATCTTCGGCCTGGTGACAACCCTGGAAGAGCTGGAGGTGGATGACTGGGACTTCTGACCAGTTAGCCTGCGTCCTCCAGCTGGGGGGTGCGAGCCCCGAGGGTCAGCACCTACCTCGGTGCAGACTGGGGAGAAAGGACATGATGCTGGCAGAGCTGGCTGCCGGCTGCTTGAAAGGACATTCTGCAAGAGACTTCACTGTTTTTGTGGCTTTTGAGACACAGGGAGTCCCAGTCACCAGGGACTTGGAGAGGCCGGAAAGCTGACATCCTGTTCTGTGAGCCAGGGGACCTCCTTAGAAGGAAGAGACACTGCTTTGGCCCCAAGGCTGAAGTCCAAACCCAGAGCTTAACTCAGACCCAGGGACCCTTCACTTCCTCCCCCTGCACTTGCTCTCCTAGCAGCCGATCTCACTCAGTTTCTCTGCTCCCACATGCTGGGGAACATGTCTGCAGCAGTCTGCCCATGGCCTACCCTAGACACCTCCCCTGTTTCTGTCTCGAAGCACCAGGTCAGTTATGGCCAGGCTGGGCCATCCTCATCCCCACCTAGCTCTTGGGCCCTGACACCTGAAACCTTAGTGCATCTGTTACTCCTTTCCCAAGAATCCACCCAATGTCTCCTGCCAGCTGCTGCCTTGGTGCCTCCTCCAAGGGCCATAATGCTTTGCCTCATCTGAGGGCTTGAGGAAGCCCTTATGTGTGTTAGTTTCATTGTCAGAACAAATTAAACATTTCAGAGTATGTTGGGAATGACACCAATGTCTCCGTGTATGCAGAGGCTATGGCCGGCTTGGAAGGATGACCAGACAAATCAGGTGCAAGCCATTGCTCTCCCAGGGTGGCTGAGTGGGTGTGGGGCCCTGGCAGTGATTTCTTTCATAAAAAAACCCACAGTCTCACTGGGCGGTGGTGGCGCACACCTTTAATCTCAGCACTCAGGAGGCAGAGGCAGGCAGATCTCTGTGAGTTCGAGGCTAGCCTGGGCTACAGAGTGAGTTCCAGGACAGGCACCAAAACTACACAGAGAAACCCTGTCTCAAAACCCCCCACCCCCCAAAAAACCCCTATGGTCTCTTAATTCCTCTTAATTTCAGGAGTATTATATTAAATTTTGCCTTGGCAAAGTTATCTGGAAAGGGCACCAGGGCTGGCATGTAGCCAAGTCTACCTCTGGGGCACCAGGGCTCTGAGCAGCCAAGGGGGGAGGGCTTTGTCAGGGCTCCTGATGGTTGGTACTAATACCAGCGAGCATGTAACTTTAGAACCCTTTGTGCTGGCAGCCAGCGACTAAAAGCAAGAGGACCGTGGTCTGTGCATGCCCTACCCAGCTTTTCCATCTGGCTAGTCCCCTGGGGGGAGGCCCTCCTCTGGCCGAGGCACTGCAAACCCAGGGTTTTGTTTTCTTTCATTTTTTGTTTTTCAAAACAGGGTTTCTCTCAGTAGCCCAGGCTGTCCTGGAACTAGCTTTGTAGACCAGGTTGGCCTCAAAGTCACAGAGATCTGCTTGCTCTGTCCCCCAAGTGCTAGGATTAAAGGCATGTGCCACCACTGCCTGGCATAAATACCAGTTTAAGGAAGTCCTCCGTCCCCTTTCTGAGGCTTCTCAGGCCATCGAACGCCCCCACTTAACATTTTGACGTTTTCACCGCTGAGGCCGGGAATGTGGCGTAGCTGGCAGAGTACTTGCCTGGCGTGCAGCGTGCAGCGTGCAGCGAGCCGTGTTGGCTCAGCTCCTCAGCTCCGGGTACCTGGGAGTAGTTGGTGCCGCTCTGTAAAGTCGGCACTCAGAGGACGGGTGTGCAACGGCATCCTCAGCGGCGCAGCCGGAGACCTACAGAGCATTTAAAGAACCGAGTTGCTCACTGTGGAGGTGGGCTAGGGACCTGAAAAGGCCTGTGAGAAAGGCCCGTGTGACACCTATTTCCAGTGCTTCTCCTACCCCTGCCCAACTTGGTACTTTCCTTAGACAATTTAAAATCCCCCCCCCTTATGTGTGTGCTTGTGTGCACCAGGCTATGACTTGTAGCCCAGAGTGGCCTCAAACTCAGAGTACTGGCACGAGCCCACAGCTAGCCATGTTCTCTCCTTCCGGACCGCCTTCCCCGTCAGTCAGCTCATCTCCAAACTGCTGACTGTGGTAGCTCCCTGCAGCTCGGCCCACAGATGGTCCCAGCAGGGCAGGCTGCCAGTCAGTGCCCGGGCACAGCCTCTCCGTGTCCCTAAGGGGACAAGACACCTCTCTTGCATCGAACAGCTCCCTTGGCGACTCTGATGACAGGTGTGGACAGTTTCCCCAGGGAGGGTCCCCCCTGGTTGTGGAGGAGCACCCATCAGGAAGTCAGTAGCCGAGCCTCATGGCAGGCAAAACAACGTCTCAAGCGGGAACCAGAGACTGAGGAAAGCGAAGCGCAGCGTGGGTGCATTAGCAGCCAGGGAGACAGTGGGGGGCCGGGGGGGCCGGTGGTGCAGCCTGCTGCCTCCCCGTTCCCTGCCAGGCGGGAGGCGTCGAGCTGTTCTCTTCCCTGACACGCGTGGGCCCGCGCTACAGCCACCAGTTCTATTCCTGTCCCTGGTGTGGGAACATGTGCTTGGGGAACAGCCTCCAGGCCGGCTTCGGGCGAAGCCTCCAGCAGAGGCCGGTGGCCCAGAAGCCGCCGCCTGGCGCAGGGCTGTCCGCCCACGGGTGGCCGAGTGGCCCGCGGCACCTCAGACCTGAGCGGTGGCGCGTTGGCGCAGCTCTTGATGTACTTTGTTCTCTCAACAAGTCCAAGAGCCTCTGCGCTCCCTTCGGTGGACTGAGCTGTGCCTGACCTGGGCCGTGGCCAAGGCCAGGGGTCACCCATCCACAAAACCCGGCCACAGGAGGGAGTGGGTGCTTTCGGGGACCGCGCAGCTGCAGGAGTTGTGGGGCGGCGGACCTGTCACACCCCTCACGTGGCGGCATCGGCGCCCCGCGGGCCACCTTGGCCCAGCATCGGGGTATGGAGGGCCCACGAGCTGCCTCCATCTCCCTCTCTGCAGCCCCGTGGCTGCCCGGGGACCCTGCCTCCCGAGTCCCCACAGTGGGACAGCTCAGGCCACTGGGTCCCCAGAGCGCCAGGAGGGGGCGGGGCTAATGGGCCTCGGCCTTCACAATGGCCAACGGGTAAACCGAGGCAAGCCGCGAAAGGCCGGGACCCGTTCCTGAAGGTCCGCGCGCGGAGTGCCTCGTGGGGCGCCCGTAGGCCGGACTCATCCCCGCCCGAGGTATGCCATCCGCTCCCCGCCGCCGCCGTCCGTTCCCCACGAGCGGCCGGGGAGGTCGGTTCCGGGGGGAGCGGGCGAGCGCGGGCTGCGAGCGCGGGGCGGGGGGCAGACAAAGGCGGGGCGGGGGGGGATGGCGAGCGAGCGAGCGGGGAGGGAGAGACAAAGCACAGAGGGGGGTCGGCGGCGGCTTCTCCCGGAGGCG